GAGGAGGGGGTGAAGGGAGGGGAGGGGAAATGGGAAAAAAAATAAGAACCAAGATACATCATGTAAAGGCACAGGGTTATAATGATGAATGTAACTGTATTGTATACCTAAAATGTATCAATACATTTGATGGAAAAGAAAAAAAAGAAATAAATAAAATGAAGTAAAGGGGGAAATAACTCTGAGGATGATGACTAAAGGTTTGTAAGTATGGAAAATGTACACAGTATTTTCCACCATGGGCTCTGTGGAATCTGGATGCTTTGATATGCTCTAGAAAAGAAATATTCTAAAGTCCAACAAGATAGAGAAACTTCAGCGTATTACATCACTACATAGCCCCTTAGTTATTAATAATACACCTCAGTCCTTAAAGGCTCTTTGAAGTGCTGAAGACAAGAATTAGCCCAAAACTTGTTTATTACCTCTATATTTCTCAAACTCCTTGGACCATAGAATTCTTTCAGGGCAACTATTTTATCCCTCTTATGGCTAGTGCTCCATGGCATAAACTCTGGAAAAGGCTGGGTGAAAGAAAATAGCAGGGTCTTAAAAAGGAGATTTTGCAATAAGAGAAAGAAATGGATGTTAAAAAGCCAAAGAGGGATAAAAAAAAAAAATGAAGACCATAAGGACAGAAAACATGACCAGGGAAAAGGACAAAGACTCTTTCCAAAAAAAGCTGAGTAAGCTGGGCATGGTGGCACACTCCTGTAATCCCAGCACTAAGGAGGTTGAGGCAGGAGGATCGCTGTGTGATCGAGGCCAGCCTGGGCTACATAGTGAGTTCCAGGTCAGTCTCAACTACATAGTGAGACCCTCTCTCAAAAAACCAAAAAAAACAAAAAATGCTGAGTAAAATGATTCAAAGTAATCAAAGAAAATAAAGTTTGAGGAAAGCCCACAAAACTCAATTGTAATTGGTTTGTACAGTAATAAATATTATTTATCAAGATGATGAGAGAGGAAAAGTTTGAAAAGAAATCTTCATTGAGAAATTTGTTCAAGATAATATCTTTCATAAATAGCACTTTTGACATTTGCAAAATTAAATTTAGAATACACTATACCAAATTAATGTAGGGGTGGATGGATGGATGGATGGGCAGATGGAAGGATGGATGATCAGAGGGAGAGAAAGCTTCCCTCTGTGATTGTGTTTCTTCTTAACCAGAAAAAAAAAAAAGGTTAGCAATCATATTAAGAAAACAGTCATATTAAGTCATATTAAGATTGAGAAAAATAAAACAAATTTCTTCTGGTTCCACCTTCATCATCATCATCATTCTACCAAGGAGAAGTCATAAAGCAGTTTTTTGGAGTATTTAAATTTAAGTAGCTTAGGAAAAGGCAGTGCTCCATATGCCTTAATCATGTCTACCCAGTTGCTCTGCGTTGAAGCCAAAACCCCAGCTCTGAATTGAGGAATACTTCACTTTCCTTTATAATTGCTCTTTAGCTTATTCATTTCGAGGACCTCATAAGAGAGCTGCAATCTGTGGCAGAATTTACATTTTCTTGTAATCTTTGGACGTAGTAACATCAGACAGCTTGCCAATGTTCTTCCCTACTTAGCAAATTATCAAACCTTCCCTGGTTTCACCATAATTGTTAGCAGATTCATTTATCAAATTAGCTAAACTATCACTGGATAGAAATCAAAGGTTAGAGGATATTGGGGTACAAGGGAGGAACTCAAGGAAATTCCGCCAAGTCCTGACGTCAAGCGCCTGGGGCTAGGAAGGGTTGAACAGTCTGGGACATCTTGGTGATGAGAAGTTTTCCAAAAGAGGCTGAAAGGGAATCAATGGAAAAGGCTTGAAACAGATCTACTTCACAGTCATGTCTACTGAGCACTGCTTCTCAAACTGTCTGGGAAAGAACAGATGTGTCTGGGGTCTTTGTTTGTTAACTTGTTTTAGTTCAGTCTATTTGTGGACTGATGCTTTTACATGGTACAGCACAAATAAATTAAAAAATAAATAAATAAGAAAAGGCATGCAAAAATCCATGCCCAATTTATTTTATTTTATTTATTTATTTATTTATTTTGGTTCTTTGTTTGATCTTGAGACAGGGTCTCACTATATAGTTCAGGCTAGCCTTGAACATACTATGCAATTCATTCTGGCCTTAAACTCAGTGATCCTCCTGCATCAGCCTCTTGTGTGCTGGGATTACAGGTGGTCACCATGCCCAAGTTTAGTATAGAGCCCTGTCAATGGGCCCTAATGTTTTCTAAACAGACTCCCAGTTTCTGTCCTCTCTTCCCAGTTTGGTAAGAAACAGGTCTCAGACTGGCACAGGTCTGCAGACCAACCGTTTAGTGACTTGGCCCCAGAGGGCATGGCTTGTGAATCTGATGAAGCAGGTGTCAGAGGTGTTGAAGAAAGGCATCCCCAGGGTGAGATTAACATACATGGTCTTGGAAGCTTCAGGACAGCTGCTTTAGAAGAGTCTCTTGAAACACAGAAGTGTCAAAAATAATACCTATAAGAGCAGCTAATAAAGACAGCTAAATACAATGCAACAAAGGATAACCACAAGGCCCCCGATGCATGAAGCCAGTCACAGGCTGAGCCCTGCCTTGCACTTGCTCTGCCCGGCACAGCTGCTACTAAACAGATCCAAAGCAAACAGGGCTCTCCCTGCAGCAGACTCAACAGAACAAAAACCAACACCCAGAAATAAATTAGATTGCCTAGCTCATCATGTTACACAGTCCACTATCTTCAAATCCAGGATCCTGAACACAGTAACAAATGATAGTATTAATTAGGACATGGGTCTAAAGCCAAAACCAAATAACTCATTACTATAAACCAACATAATTCTCAGAATTTTCCAGGTCAGCTACAAGAAAGAGTTATGAAGCTATCTTCTCAATTGAACTAAATCTCACCCATGCCTAATTGCAGTGTGCGTGGCTAAATCCTTTCCCCATCATGCTGGCAAGCTTGCCTCTTGGAGCATCTAAGCCTTGGAGACTTCTTAGAGCAGGGTAAGCATGTGGTCAAGTTGAAAGAAACATAAAGCCTAGAGCCAGCATATAAGGGTTTAAGGGCCATCTGCTAGCTGGGCAGTCTTAAGGCACTATCTGAGGTTCAGTTTCTGTATCCATGAAACAAGACTAAAAACAGCTACCTCCCTGAAGTCACAGCTGAAAACTCTTAGCAATTTGTAAAAAGTTACGTAGATGTCAGTCCTTATTCTGGAGAAATAAGCACTTGAGACATGTTTTTAACTATGCCTCCCACCATAAAGCTTTGTCTTTTACACAGTTTATGTTTTCCTTCTAGTTCAAATTGCTTCTCCATGTCACACACTGTCTTCCTTATGCTCTCAGCATCACTGGGATATTGTACAGTGCTGCCAGCATCACGAACATCTGACAGCTTGAAAAGTGGCACATGAGGGATCTATCTGAGGCACATCAACAGTGACAGAGATATCTGAAAAGTCAGGGAGACATTCGAGGGTAATGAACAAGTTTCGTTTAGTAAGTCTGTGGCTTTTCTTAATCTGGTTCTTCCTTATCACACCTTTTGCTCTCTGTTGCAGGAAGTCACTGATCTATGTTGATTTTGTCCTCTCTGCTTAATATTTAAAAAGGTTTTATTTTTGCTGCACCCTTCCTTGTAAAATGAAAACAGATTACTTATCAAATTTTGTGTTCTGGCAGTGTATTTATTAGTACTCAAACTTCTCTTTGTGTGTGTGTGTGTGTGTGTGTGTGTGTGTGCAGTGCATATGTTCCTGAGGACAATGGTGAAATGCAGTCCTTGAGTTTTATTTATTTTACTCATACATGTTTGTGGTACATAATGTTTCCATTCCTTGTGTAGGGTTGGTACATGGACAGAACACATCCCTATTCTTCTTTTTCATCCCTTTTCTTTCCCTCTTCCCCTCCCTTCATTCCTTAATCTCCTTCCCATTTGAGAATATCTATCTCTCTATCTCCTTTTATCTATCTTTTATTGGGTTTTTCATATAGGCAAAAGCAAATGATATTTTAGCTTATATGTCTGATTTATTTCACCTAACACTATGGTCTCAAGGTGCATACATTTTCCCACAAATAACTCAAATTTATTTTTCTTTATGGAAAAGTAGTACTCCATTGTGTATAAATACCACATTTTCTCTATCCATTCAAACCCTGGATAAACATGGTAATTTTTTAATTAAAAAAGAGTAAAAGATAAATTCTGAATAAAAAATGTGTTGCAATGTTCCCCTTTAATAACATTATTAAACTTTTTAAGCAACTAAATTTTAACTAAATCTGGTCATATTTAGAGGAAATGGTTAGATTAGGAATAAATGTAGCCGGGCGTGGTGGCACACGCCTATAATCCCAGTACTCGGGAGGCTGAGGCAGGAGGATCGCTGTGAGTACGAGACCTGCCTGGGCTACATAGTGAGTTCCAGGTAAGTCTCAACTACATAGTGAGACCCTGTTTCAAAAAACAAAAAGGAATAAGTGTGTTGCAAAACTTGGGTTTCTCTAAATGATATTCAGGCTTTACATAAACCACAATGTAAAGCAACCGTGATCTGTGCAAGGTTCCATGTCTCTATCATAAATCTAAGTTCAAATGAAAAATAGATGAAAATTAGATGTCATAAGCACCATTTTATGCCAGGAAAAAGAGTAACTATTGCTTTGGAGCACTGAACCTCTTTGAACTCTGCCTGCCACTTCACTAGGTCCCTATGGCTTGGATTTTTTCATTGTTTCATCATTTATAACTCAAGTACTAATGCAAATATTGGAGATGATTATCTCCAGAAGAGAGTACTTTATTCTACATATACCCCTCCCTCACACAAAAAAATACTAAAAGCAAAGACCTGAGACTCCCCAAAGTGGCATACTCCTCTAAAGCAGGTGTGAAAAAAACAGCCCTAGAACATTTGTGGTGAGAAAGTTAAAACTTGTAAGAACAAAACTCGGTCTTCAAACTCATCTTTCATCAGTTGGATTAGAATGTTTTGTCTGGGCTTCTAAAGTCTAAGTCATTAAAATGACTAGCAGTTTTTCTTTTTCTCTGTTTTTCCTGCTAGCTGGGGCTTATATGGTTCCAGAAGGTAAGTATCTCCATTCCTACAACATGCAAGCAGTAAGTGAATTTCTAGTGATTGTGTTGTTACATTAGAGATGAATGGGATTTTCATAACCATCTCTATTCCTTGCAACTGTTGTACTTAATACAATTGCTCATGTATAAAAGTATAATCCTTATTAGGTAGAGTTGCTATTTTGTAATCTTTGACAATCATACAGTGACTGTTTTCAGGAGAATTACACGTAAGTGCTTGGATCTTTTGTGGAATCCTTCGGTTTATTTTGTAGGTTTCACTATGGAGATTGTTGGAGGGAAAGAAGTGCCTCCTCACTCCAGGCCTTTTATGGCTTCCATCCAGACTGAAGGCAGTCACATTTGTGGAGGAGTCCTGATCCACCCACAGTGGGTGCTGACCGCAGCCCACTGCAGCTTTTTGTGAGTCCTCTATGCTTTCCCATGTGTGTGTTGTGTCCTTCAAATTGGAAAGAAAAAAAAAAAGCCACATGTCCTGTGATCTCTGACCATTGGGTGGGGCTCATTTATCCTCTCATACATCCATATTTCCTACCCTGAGTTTTTCTTTTTTTTTGGAAAGATCTGGGCTTCTTTTCTCAGGCAAACCATTAAATAAATTCAAGTGCTAAGTCTAACTCATCAGCAAATTCTGCAACAATAATAATGGAAATAGCCATATTTCTGACCTTGTTAAACACCATCTTTCAGGAGGAAATAATACAAACTAAGCTTGTTATGTCCTCTCCAGCCTCCCTGAATTACATATGGCAATACTAACAATAGTACAATACTCCCTTCTTATCCATGGGGCCTATGTTCCAAGACATTCTTCAGATGCTTAAAACCTTTGGAAGCATTGATCTCTATACACACTATTTTTATGCATGCATATCTATAATTAAGTTTAATTTATAAATTAGGCACAGTAAGAGATTAATTGATTGTTTCTGCAGTTTTCCATTGAATGTTTGCAACAGCATTTGACCACAAATCACTAAAATCACAGAAAACAAAACTGTATAAAGGGAGATTACCATACCCTGCTTTGTGGGCTTTTGAGAATTACATAGTATATATTTAAGTGCTTTAGCTGTACAGATCACTTAGTAAGCACAAAATATTGCAGCCAATATTATATGTTGGAGAATCTTGCTTTGCTTGTAGACTTATAGACTCTGGTTCCTTAGCCGCATCCATTATCACAGACCTCTGAGGTCCCTGTTTGGGGACCTGTTTGGGAATCATAGCCATAAAAGACAACAACATTACCAGATTGTGGGAGATGGGGATTTAGAGAAGATTTATAAAGGACAGAAAAGAGTGAGTTATTTTTTCTGAGATACTTAGAATGAAATTTTTTCTGAAGACAGAGTACAACCTCCCAAAGCCCATTTCAGCCTTGAATGCTCTTGCTTCAGCTAATAAAATACGAAACTCATCTCACGACGAGGATGTCATTAAATGTTCAAACAATGCAGAATATATCTGTCTTCAAAGATACTTTTGGGACACATTTAAATGAACTATAAACAGTGGAGGCCCATGTACCACAGTAGGCTGTTATCATTGAAAGCTCTAAAGCTCATCACCAGACTATAAGTTCTTCAGACACAGAGCTGGAGTTATAAATGCTCAAAAAATGTTGGATGGAAATAAGGAAACAAATTGGGAGATTTTTTTTTTTTTTGCTAAACTTAAAATAAGCCAAAAGTTACTATATGAAAGTAAATAATATTAAGTTGAATTCACATTTTGTCAAATGAACTTAACTAAAAAAAGTGGATTCCCAAATTAGGAGGGAGAGATTATTTTTAAAAGACTGGAAAGAAGTCTTGGAATTAAAAAAAAAAATACTATTACTAAATATCCTTTTAAATGGCTAGAGTATTAAGAACTCCAAAATATGTGGGTTGAATTTCCTCCACAGGACACTCGGGTGTCAAAAATGTAGGCCTGTCAGTTCTTGGGAAAATATTAAGCCTTATGAAATTCAAAATATTTATGAAATAGTTCTATGGTGGTTTCCCGCAAGCATACTCATAAATATCCTAAGGAAACAGTTTCCGACCCCAGGCCTCTCTCCCAGAAAAACGTTACAGTGGGCCAAATCTGGGGATGTTCCTGTCTCACCACCCACCCATTCGGTTCCTCCCTTAGCACCTTGGCCTCTTTATTTGTTGCCCTGTCATAAAAGCAAATGGGTAAAAAAGGCTTCGTGTGTAATATCATTTTCAGCATTTTCATTTAACAGAAGTAAAACTCAAAACTGTTGTCCATTGTCCTCCAAGTTGTCCTCCACTGTCCTCCCCCAACCCCATCACCTGCCTAAGTTATTATTATCATCTAAGTTATTAAATGAAAGCTTGTGAGGCCCCTTCTATATAATGTTACTCTGTCTCAAACTCCCTGAGTAAAGTGGTAAAATCTTCAGGCTTCAGATTCAACCCAGCTGAGCTGTAATCTTGTATATCCTGTAGCTTCTACCTAATATCTATGGGACAATTTAAAGTTTATTCAAGTATTTGAACCTCCAGCTCCTCATTTGTAAAATGGACATCAGTATAATTCTTATTTCACAGGGCTATTGTGAGATAGGAAGGGAAATGTCTTGCACGGAATACCAGACCTTAATATATTTCCAAGTCCTGTAATATTGCTATGTGTGCCTTCCATGGTACTACCAAGTGACTAATCTGATGATCCCACTTGTGTTGCTGGGACTGAGAAAACCTCACTCTCTGAAGGAAAAGAGACTTGCAAGACAAGGGAACCCTACCTTTTCTGTAGACCTCAGTAGTGGGTCTAAGCAGAACCCCTGCTCAGCCACAAAGCAGCCTAAGGACATAAAGAGACTTGGCAGGTTGGCATGGGTCTTTAAAGAGGAGTTGAGGAAAGATGACTGGACTTGGAGTCACAGAAGTTGGATTTGGGTTCTGATTCCCCCACACAGTCCTCCTCGTGTAAGTTGTTTATGCTCATACCCACGTTTCTGTTAGAATGTTAATCCTGGGATTTTTATATCAGCCTTCCCCTCCAAAGCTTTGGGTTGGGTATGTTGGATTTGAATTAGTCCTAGAAAATCCAATCCATATCCTATGAGAAATTTCATCCCCATCCTGATTTTGCAATAAGCAAACTTTTCAACAAATAGAGCTGAAATTCCCCAAAATAAACTAAAATAAACTCTTTTGGTATAAATCATGAAGTGGTAATTCCAGGCAGTCACAGGTCTACCATGTGAAAATCCTCCCCACCACAGTTATGTGCACATTCTCTGAGCCTGAAACAATCATTCCTTCCTGTTTTGATGTTTCTGTGCTCTTTTCCATTTTTATTAGTATGTGTGCATTTACTGTTTTCTGCTTTGATCTCTTTTTCAACTAGCAAAGATGCAGTTATGTGTCAATGAATAAATGTAGTTTTTTTATAACCTTTTCTTTTTCCAAAAGAGATTTGAGGAAGCCTTATAAAGTCCCATGTTGCAATTAAATATATCTATAGCATAAAAATGGCTCCAAGATATTACCAAAATCTCAAACAAATTTTCTATTTTTGTCATTGGTTATAAATGTAATTACATCAAGCACACAGTAAATAGGGCCAATTATGGCATTTCTGAAACATTAGTACTAGAACTATGCACAATCAGAAACTGTAGAAAAAATAATCTGTTTCTTTATCAGACTACCCAGTTTGAAACACATAAATCTTCACAATGGAATCATCAGTGTTTACAATCTTTAATATATATTCATTTCAACTAAGCCATGTTTTTTTACCTTGAGGAAAGTTTTCCTTTCTTGTCTAAACTGTGTTTATAATTAAAGGGGACAGGAATTTTGATCACATTTGAATGTCATGAAAGTTGCCTGGTGAGGTCTCAGCATACAGATGAGCATGAGTAGATTTGAGTCTTTACCTTAGCTATTTTAGTACTTTTTGCTGGAAAGATAAAAAAGTTCTGGAGATGAAGGATAGTGATAGATAAACAATAATGTAAACTTACTTGATGGAACCAAATGTACATTTTAAATTAATGAAATAAAATCTTTTATTATATGTTAGTACAATTTTTAAAATCCTTTAATGTAGTTGTTATAAATCTCAAACCACAAACTCAAGAAATATAATTTTCTTTATTTTTTATATAAATGAGCACAATTTGTTATAAACTTAATCTATGACAATTAGGACTTCACCCCTTCTTTCTCATAATCACATACAAGTTCTGATACTTTCTTACAGTGCAGGGAAACTGGAAGGAGTGTGAGGGAAAGCCATTTGACCCTTAATGTTATTCATTCACGATGGGTTCCACTGAGACCTCTGTCACTCCACCTAATCCTGAGTAGGTTACCTCAGCTTCTGTCCCTGGTTCTGTAGATACATAACTCTTTTTTTTCAGCTTTAATTGAGTTTATTGGTACATTTTAGGGATACAGTACAGTTACATTCATTGTTGGGATCTTGTACCTCTACATGACAGGTCTTGGTTCTCATTTTTTCCCTTTACCCCTGCCCTCCCTTCACCCCCTCCTCCCCTCCCCATCTACAAACACTTTATTTCCATCTTTTCATTATCTCACATTTTTTTCTTTTCCCTTTTTACCCTTCCCCTACCCATCCCACCTTCCCTACACCTTTAGCTCCTTTCTTCCCATTTCTAAATGTCAGTAATCTTATTAGGATCTTCTGTATTATTGCAGATTATTCACACCAGAGAAACTATTCAGTATTTACACATGTGTGCCTTATTTATTTCACTTAGGAGTATATCTTCAATAAGGTACATAACTCTTTCTGCCATTTCTACCCCTCACTAGAGAATTTGGAAATTATTCTGTTACTTCCATTCTCCTTACTTCCTTAGGTTTGACAAAGGCCAACCTGCTACTGTGGTTTTAGGAGCACATTCTCTCTCAAAGAATGAGCGCTCCAAACAAATGTTTGAAATTAAAAAACTCATACTATTCTCAAGATCTGAATCAGATGATATCATGCTGGTAAAGGTATGTAACACTGCCTTTCTTCAGTTTCTCCAACATTCTTATACAGTGTGACAGTTAGTTAAATCAACTATATGAAAGCATTTCATTTGTACCCACTCCATGTCTGAGCTGATTATGACATATTCTGCAAGGTCCAATGTAACCATAAACTGCCTGGAAAGAAACAAAACTTTATCCTAAATGCACCCAGGATATGTTTATACAGGGAAAATCAATTCTAATATTCATATATGTAAAAAGGGAACATCCCAACCAACAAGCCTAAGGGTCCAAGTGGAAAGCTCTTTCCCAAACGCTTTTCTCATTAGCAAATGAAAATTACAACAGTCATTTATACATCAGAGCCAACCAAGTGACTTTAGGGACTCAGAAGTAACTTATAACTTAGTCTAGAGCATACTTTGTCTAGTCAAAATGCAGTCTAGACCATACTCAAGGGTCCTATCCAGCAGGAAACAGCCCAGCCCTCAAAGTCATGACCTATAGATGTCATTCCACAGAAAACCATCCAAAGCAGGGCAAAGGCCAGTTTGCTAAAGACTGGGCAGAATTCCTGCTCTGTGTAAGTTCCCTCCCAAGTATCAGTGAGCTCCATTGGGAATAGAAAACATGTTCAGAACAGCAACAATCACAAATACAGCTGCAAGCTACCACCAAAGTAGATTCAAGAACGGATGCCCTCCTATAACAGAGGGACCACACATACAACACACAGGCTAACAGCAGAATACTGCAGGGAAAGAATGATAATTTGTTTTTCAATCTGTCAGCTTCACACAGCTGCAAAACTCAACAAGTATGTCCAACTGCTCCACCCAAGATCCAAAAACTATATCAGAGATGGAACCAAATGCCAGGTTACTGGCTGGGGAGCCACCAGCCCAGATGTTTTAAACAACTCTGATACCCTACAAGAAGTCACTGTTACCATCGTAAGTCGTAAACGTTGCAACAGCCAAAGTTATTACAACCACAGACCTACTATAACAAAAGATATGATATGTGCAGGAGATGCCAGAGGCCAGAAGGATTCCTGCAAGGTAAGAATTGCTCATTTACACATGCGTGCTAGAGGGCTGTACAGCACTCAAAGTTCAGTTTGCCCACTCACAGAAGGAGGAAAGGGTGGAGAATACAGAGCCAAAAGTCTAAAATTGCTGTTCTTCCTGCAGTGTCCTATATTCTTTTTCATTTACTAATGTGAAAGAGAAGAACTTCCCAAAGCTGAAAAAGCACTCATTAAATGCTTTTTATTCAGAATAACAGACTGTATCTAATAACATTAACAGGCTTCTTATGAGGTGTGTTACCATCTTTAGAAGTCTATAAACCCTAAGGGGTCACTGGTGGTGATTAGGAGATAACTTACCCAAAAAGGAATCACTGCTATTTATTGTTAGAGCATATTCATTATACTGATATATTCACTATCTGGTTACAGTATGAGAGTTTTACACATGCATATAACTTAATTCAGTCCTATATATAGGAAATCCAGATCAAGATGCCAGCAGATTTGGTGTGTGCTGCTTTCTGCTTCACTCTAACTTCACTTGGCAGAAGGAGTGAAGGTTCTCTCTCTGGCCTATTTTATAAGGACTCTCATCCTGAAGTAGGATAGAAGAAATAGGTAGAAAGGAGATCAACAAATCATAATTTTTAAATTATACTTTTAGAAAAACTTGAACTGTGGGACACAAAATTTATTCAGGCCTTTTTTCTTCTTAAAAAAAAAAGCTCACTCAAAAGCAAAATTTCCTAAATTCTTTAAAAACATAAGCCTCTCTCCAGGGCTTTTCCTCTTCAAGTATGTACTTTTTAAATTCCAGCTCATAAACCACTTTACATCTCTCATTGACTCATTTGAAACATTCTTTTTCTGTGACGCTGGTCAGCAAACGTACAACCTACTTCACAGGTGAGGTGAGTAGGGTCCTCCTCTCCACTTTGGGGGACCTCTTTGGACACTGTCTGGTAACAGTTTCATTCACGAGAGTGCCTCCTCCATGACCTAATCACCCGCCAAAGGCCCCGCCTCCTGACACCATCACATTCGGGGCTGAGGATTTCAACATGTGAATTCGTGTGGGAGGGGACGGGGGATGGCAAACATTCAGACCACAGCACTGACTGAGAAAAAGGAATAGCAGCATTGTATTTTTCAAAATCTTTTTTTTGAATCCCAGTAGTACAGAGAATATTGACTGCATGTATTGGCGCATGTTCAGAGGTAGCTAATATACAGCACAGATGGATTAGTAATTTTTAAAAATTATAATGAAAAAAGGTGCAAAGGGGAAGGGGAAATGAGATGGGTAGGAGGAAAGAAAGAAGGGAATGGAATTAATATGAGAAAAAGATAAAAATGGAAAGAAAGCCTTTGTAGGTAGGGAGTAGAGAGGTTGAAGGGAGGGCAGGGGAATGGGGAAAAAATAAGAACCAAGATGGATTATGCAAAGGTGCAAATTTCCGATGATGAATGTCATTTTGTTGTACCTTAAATGTATCAATAAAATTAATTTTTTCAAAAAGAATGCAAATAATATTTACACTTACTATATTAAACACTGTTACTGCGGTATGATGAGGGGAAGGATACAGTTCTGTGCATCTGTGGTAAACCATGACCACCGTCCTCCCAGCCGTGTCATCCTGGGTCCCCCAGGGATAGACCCTGCCATCTGTGATAGGAACTGTAGGAGAGGCTTGCCTACCGATTTGAAAGCAAGTTCTTTCTCTGAAAGGCTACGCCATTCCTTCTATAGTCTATTTTCTTCTCTTGACAGAATTTTGTTACAAATTTTGTTGTTAGAAAGGATCCTCAAAAGTCATTCCATTGGGAAAGTGTTTATTAAGGGTGGAATATACACAGCACTATGTTCAACATATGAGGATGCAAAACAAAGGAAAAAGATAATAGAGAGTCAGAGTCCTTGCCATCAAGAAACAGTTTATATTGCATTACTCTTGTCTGCTGGTCTCAATAGCATTTGACTTCAGCTTGATTCTGTGAGCACCACAATGAAATTTTCCCTTTAGAAAACTTCTTTGAAACACAGTATAGTGAAACACCATGAATGTAAGGGATGTACACAAGTCTTCAACTGGCCTAGATGTAAGAATGCCTATTGGATCTAACCCCTATGAATTTACAAAAAAACTCTCAGTTATTTCTAATTTTCCTTATGTGTCATGGGTACAGAAAACTTATACAATCAAGTAATATAAAGACTTGATGTCAATTTTTATACATAAGTGCTACAGATGTACACTATAAAAGGAGATATCCTAAAGTGGAAAAAATAATTTTATATTTCTTTTTATGATAATTTTATTAACAAATAAAGCTCAATAGTCACTGGTTAGTGAAGGAATGTATATGCACACAGAACAGAGATATAGAATGGACACAGACAGAGGAAAGAAAAGTCATAGTCATAGACAAATGTGAACACAGGGAGGGAGGCAAACAGAATTGATAGTCCTAGAGGAACCTATACTGAGTAAGAGAGTATGCCCTGTACTCTTGAAGACAAAAAGAAAGCAAAGACCCAGATAACAATATTTTGAGCAATCAACAGCTGTTGATAGAAAATTTTCAACAGCTTCTTACAATGTATGTATCCATTTTCTTCTTTCCAGGGTGACTCAGGTGGCCCTTTGATCTGTAAAGGTGTCTTCCATGCCATCGTCTCTAGAGGTGATAAATGTGGTATTGCTAAGAAGCCTGGGATCTACACCCTGTTAACCAAGAAATACCAGGATTGGATCAAAAGCAATCTTCCCTTACCTCCTGCATATTAAGACTGCAAATCATTTTCTTGGATCTATCAGTTATCTGTTTCTCTCTCTTTTCCTTTTTTCATAATGTGCTCACAGCTCACCTTATCTTCAAATGTAGTTGGATGTAGGTAAAGCAGAACACACTTGACGTAAATTTCTGTGCCCTCAATACTCATCATGCTAATGAAACAAACTCTTTTCCATGCGTATCACTGATATATTTTTACCATACTGATTTCATTCTAAATGAAATCTAAAAGGTAGTTTGTCTTTTATGGATATGAAGTAATATCAGCCCCCATGTCACCCATACTCCCCAAAGGCCAGTAAGGTGACTGAATGAGATAGTAACTGCATCCCTCTAATCAGATTAAGCTGTGACTTCTGCTGAATCATACCAAGTTGTTAGGGTGTTTGTTGTAAGAATATTCAACATAAGACCTTTCCTTTTAATGAATTGTAAGTGTAAAATTCAGTACTATTAACTAGGTACAATCATATACAACAGGTCTCTAGAACTGATTCATCTTGTAAAACTGAAACTTTATACCAACTGAAGAGCAACTCCCCATTTTCCTCACCCTCATCTTCAGCCTTTGGGCACCACCATTCTACTCTGAGTTTCTATGAGTTTGGCTATCCTGTGTTGCATTTTTAAGATAATAAACAGAAATACAAGCACCCAGCTCAAGAAAGAAGGATCAAGGTACAAACAAATATATGGGTAGCAATTATTTATATATGTCACATTTTATTCCAAAAAGGGTTTAATATAATGGACACAAATATAACAAAATATAAAATTAAAAATAAATTGGTAAAGGTAGTAGGCCAAAGGGAAAATGAAAACAAGAAAGAAGAGAGGAAAGCAAAAGTACTCATATGGTTGCAATGTTTCTATCTACACATTTTCTAACAGAATTCACATTGGGCTCTATTATTTGAGCAGTGCAAAAATGATCAACACAATTAATTATATGAATTATAGTATCCAAGAAATAAAAGTAAATTGCCCAAAAGTAGGGCCACTGTACTGGAACTAAAACTACAGAGAGGGCTGAGGATTTAGCTCAGTGGTTCCACCACCTGCCTCTCTCAAGCACAAGGACCTGAGTTTGATCCCCCGTACCAAAACAAAAAACAAAAAACTACAGAGAACTTTTTCCCATGGTCCTCTTAGAATGGATACCATGGCAATCCATATATCACTGAAATATCACATGGTGCCCCATAACTATATACAATTTAATGTGACAATTATATTGAAGATATACTCCTAAGTGAAATAAATAAGTCACACGTGTAAATACCGAATAGTTTCCCTGGTGTGAATAATCTGCAATAATACATAAGATACTAATAAGATTACTGACATTTAGAAATGGGAAGAAAGGAGCTAAAGGTGTAGGGAAGGTGGGATGGGTAGGGGAAGGGTAATAAGGGAAAGGAAAAAAATGTGAGATAATGAAAAGATGGAAATAAAGTGTTTGTAGATGGGGAGGGGAGGAGGGGGTGAAGGGAGGGCAGGGGTAAGGGGAAAAAATGAGAATCAAGAACTGTCATGTAGAGGTACAAGATCCCAACAATGAATGTAACTGTACTGTATCCCTAAAATGTACCAATAAGCTCAATTAAAGCTGAAAAAAAAGAATAAATAAGGAAAAAAATGAAATATTAAAAGATAAATATAAAAACAGCACTATGCAATGTTTCTCATAACTCTATCAGCTGCATCAGAATCACCTGAGATTATTTGTAGACCTCTGGCCTGGAAATTCAGATTAAATGGGCTTGACGTGAGCCTGAAAAATCTGTAATTCAGTTGATTCTGAATTCTGAATGGGCAAATTTGAAAACCACCAATAGTGAACATCCTTAACAATATCTTAGAATAAAGACAACAGTAAGTGTCAAAGGATTTTTTTTATACATCCTGAAATGTGAACTGATGACTTAAGACCAAAGTATCATTCACTCTAATCACTGTCCAGACCCAGCCTTTCTAATTTGGGTGGAAGAGGATGGGAGGGGGAAAGGAGGTCTTTCCTTCAACAATCAGAAGCCAAAAAATTAATCTCAGCCTCTTTGTTTAATCTGGACTTCAGGGAATAAACAATTCTTGTTTCCAGGTGACATCAAGTTCTCTTATGTGCATATAGAGATGAATGCTTTTGTTTATTTGTTTGCCTTTTGTCATGATTCTTAGAAACCATTCATGCCTACTACCCTGCACCATGAATAGTTAGAGAAATGGAAAGGCGGGATAAAAAAAAAAATAACCTTATTAAAATTCTACAACTTCTTTGATAAGAAACTAGGAAGTTTCTTTAAATATTCTATCTTGTGTCATTTTGATTAATTAACTATACTGATTATGAAAGGTACTGATTATAAAATACCAGATTAAATTTTATAAATACTTAAAAAATTATGGGTTCTCTGGATTTATCAGCAAAAAATAATTCTGCATCTATTTCACCTAAATTTCTTTTTTTTAACTTTTATTAGTACATGTTTGCATCACATAATGATTACATTCACTGTAGGGAATTACATACATAACACATTTTAATCCTTCCCCCCTTTCTCTACTTCACTTTTATTTTTCCAACATCAGATTCATTTATTTATCTTATAGACCTTATAAAGTTAATTATCACATATAGAGAGATTAAAAACCAGGCCAAAGAGCATATAAAATATGTAAGACAATTGTACTAAGTCAGGGTGCACTTTTAGATACATTGTTCATTCTGTATTACAACAATTTTTTTCTCTCACTTTTTCCTATTACCTATATACACATATATAGTGTATATAGTATATGTACACATAGCTATATAAAAGGAACCAAGTGATATTTAAGCTTGTATGTCTGAATTACTTCACTTTATGGTCTCAAGATACATCCACTGTGGACTCAAGGCGCATCCATTTTCCTACAAATGACTCAAGTTTATCCTTCTTTGTGGCAGAATAGTATTCCATTGTGTATAAATACCACATTTTCCTTATCCATTCATCTGTTGATGGACATATAGGCTGTTTCCAAGATTTAGCTATTATGAATTAGGCTGCTATAAACATATATCACTGCATATATGTTTATATGCATATATCACCATGGTATGATGTCTTTAACTCTTCTGTGAAAATACCTTGAAGGGGAATAGCTGGATCAAATGGAATTTTTATTCTTAGCTTTTTGAGGAATCTCTATATTATTTTCCATAGCAGTTGTATCAATTTACAGTACCACCAAGAATGGTGCTTTTTACCACAGGCTAGCCAGCATTTGTTTTTGGTTGATTTCTTGATGATAGCCATTCTTTCTGGAGTGAGATGAAATCCTAGTGCTGTTTTAATTTGCATTTCTCAAACGGCAAGTGATATTGAATATTTTTTCATGTATTTATTGTATTTCTTCATTTGATAAATTTCAAATCCATGAAACATATCATCATAAGTCTATACAAAAGGATTATTGAGATTATCCTTGGTGCAGTTATTGAGTATTCTGAAAAGTTGTCATTAAAATCTGAGGGTTATATTTTGATTTCAGACTCCATGCTGTTAACATCCAGTAGTCTAACTAGGCTAGATTTCCAGAGAGGAAACTTCTTTGAAAAGCTATGGCAGACCTGGTAACTCTGAAATGTGAGTCTTAACAAACGGCTGGTGATAGAGCCCATGACTAAACTGCATCCCTCATGCTTTCCAGGAAGGATATCTGCCCAAAGTAGCTTAAAAGAATACAGTGTGTTAATTTGGAGCTCTGTCTTTGAGAATTTATTTGAGTCTGTGACCTCCAAAGGAAGGACAGAGTCAAATAGCTAGATTTGAAAACTGCTCACAGGTTGTAGGGGGAAATGATTTACTGCTGTCATTCTGAATCATTCATTTCCTCCCTTCTTTGTGGCTGTGAACACAGTACATTCTCCTTCCCCACAGACATAAAAGAAGACTTCATGTTTTATTTTTGTTTATGACCATCCTGTTTTAATATAGCGCCAGTACTAAGAACAACTAAGTAATATATAATACATAATATATATAATATAATATATAATACATGAAACAAACCAAATTGATTGGGATAGGTCACTAAAGCAGGGAAAGAATACAACTATAGGCTAGACTCTGTCTACCTCCAAATTCATATGCTGAAGTCCTAACCTTCAGAATGACTACATTTGTAGATGCAATCGATAAGGGAAAAATTCAGGTTAAATATAATCATAAGAGTGGGAGCCTGATTCAATGATATCAATGTCCTTATCAGAAGAGACACCAGAGAGCTCATCTTCCCTCTCCAATATATGAAGACACAGTAAGAAGGCAGCCTTCTACAAGCCAGGAAATAGGTATTCCCTGGAAAAAGTATTGGCTGGTGCCTTGATCTTGCATTTCCCAGCCTTCAGAACAGTGAGATATAAATTTTTATTGCTTAACCCAATTAATCTGAAGGGTTTTTTGGGTTGTTTTTTGTTTTTTGTTTTTTGCGGTTTTTTGAGACCGGGTCTCATTATGCAGTTGAGCCTGACCTGGAACTCACTATGTAGCCCAGCCTGGTCTCGAACTCACAGCAATCTTCCTGCCTCAGCCTCCCAAGTGCTGGGATTACAGGCGTGCACCACCACGCCTGGCTTCTGAAGTTTTTTTTTTTTTTAGGCAGCCCAAGCTGACAAAACAGACACATGATGTGTTCCAATTTCCCCAGGGCAATGTATCCAGTTGTCTCAAAAAGTTTACAACTTCCCAGTATTACTAAGGCCCACCTGAAAAAGTGCTCATATGTTGTCTAATGAGTTATTTGAGTACAAAGTGCATCCTGGCTGAACAACTGGGCTCCTTGTGTTTTGAATGATTCCACCCCACTTTAAGCTTTCACCCACTGACTTCCTGTTGACGAAATGAGACTGTCAATTTCCTCAGTCTTTTTCTAAATCTTATCAGTCAATTCTAAATTGGCAAATACTAGGCATCACCTCTTATGTATACTGAGGCTGTTGACATCTACACTAAGAAAACTTCTATCTATAAAATTATGAAGAAGGGAAAAGAGATTAATGCTAGTTTTGTTGCTTCGCCTCAAACCATAAAAGTTACAGCTATAGTGCATGGTAAATGATTAGTTAAAATGGAAAAGACACAAAGTTACAGGATTTGGTACTATACATATCTTCAGGCATCATCTAGGGGCTTGGAATTTATCCACCATGGACAGAGGTGGACTTCTGTATATATCACCATTTAATCCTAATAGGAAAATCAGAAATCTGATAGTATCTGTTTCTATCATTTGCTCCAAACAACAACAAGCATGTAATTTTGTTCCCTGATGCCCATACTCTTTCAAATCCTAAATAGCTTTAACTTTCCACCTTGACTTATTTAAGCAATAAAGTATCATTTAAATAGTATCAATATAAAGGTGTAGGGAAAATGGGAAGGGTAGAGGAAAGGTAATAGGGGAAATGAAAAAAATAGGAGAAAATGAAAAAATGGAAATAAAATGTTTGTAAATGGGGAGGGAGGAGGGGGATGAAGGGAGGGCAGGGACAAGGGGAAAAAATGAGAACCAAGACCTGTCATGTAAAGGTACAAGATCCCAATGATGAATGTGACTGTACTGTATACCCAGAATGTACCAATAAACTCAATGAGGATAAAAAATAAATAGTATCAATAGACCA